TCCGACAACACGCACCCATAGCCCTCTCCGATCCCCCTATGGGTATGGGTGCGTGTTGGTGGTTCGTCATCACTGGCCTCGTGCTGCCGCAGGGAGCGCCTCACAAGGAGCGAGGGGGGCCTTCCTGGACATCGGCCGAGCCTCGGCCGCCGCACGCGGTCCTCGACCCCAGGTCCGAGGACCGGCCCGAGAACTGGAGCCTCCTCCTCCTCCTCCTCCCTCCTCCTCCTCCTCCCTCCTCCTCCTCCCTCCTCCCCCTCCTCCTCCTCCTCCTCCTCCTCCTCCTCCTCCTCCTCCTCCTCCTCCTCCTCCTCCTCCTCCTCCACTCGCGTGCGAGGCTGCGGAATGCAGTGCGACCTGCCGAGGGCGAAGGGAAGCTGAAGGGGCCCGCATCAACCAGCGCTGTGAATCGAGTCGCGCTGCCGCAAAAAGCGTGCAACAGAGCTGGAAAGATGGGCGGTCCAGCGGGCAAAATGCAAGCTAGAATCTCAGGTAAGGGGTCGAGAGTCTTTCTTCAAGGGGCCCACAGCCAAACATCCACGCATTGATTTGCCCCGAGCGCCGTTCCGCCAATTGGCCTCGATTCGTGCGCACCTGTTTGCTCCGAACCTATTAACCGAACGCCACTCCGCTAATTGGCCTCAAACCGTCTGCATCAGAGTCCCTGGAGCTTGGTCGGCTCCCCTGAACGGAGCACCGCTCCGCGAATTGGCGTCGTGCAATGTGCACCAGCGCTGGAGCTTGCTAACGCTTGCTCAAACTAGCCGTTGCACGCTGTGGCCTGTTGCTGCTACTCACTGCCGCTACCTGCTGCGTGCGAATGCTTGTCTTCCCAGTTCCTCCCTCCCCCACCCTCCTGGCTGGCTGGCTGGCTGGCTGGCTGGCTTATTTTCTTTGTTTTTCGCGTGTATTTCCTGAGCTGGGCATTGTTTGTTCTTTGCGCTTCGCGCATTCCACCGCCCTCTTGTGTCGTTGCTTTGGGCCGCCTGGGAGCTCAAGGCCTAGTCTCCCTTTGTTGGGGAGGGCGGCGGAAACAACTGAACCAGAGTTTCCCCCCCTCACGCACGGGGTGTGCGTCACCTGCGAAGGCACATCGACGGTGCTAATGCCATCTCCGACCAACCGACCCTCCTTTGGCGGCGCGCACAAGGACACAAAAGGGTAGGGGGAGGGGAAAAGGCTTCTTAGAAGGAAGCCGCTTCGTGGAAAGCGTCGGCCCTGCATCTATAGATCAAGACCCGCGCCTGCTGAGAAGCAGAGGTGCTCTCGAGGCGGCCAAGGATCTGAACTGGACGGGGCCCAGAAGATCAGTTCCGCAGACCCCTCCCGGGGTCCATCCAGAGCAGGCTTTCGCCCCAGGTCAGCTTCTGACAGTCCCAGGGCCGGAGAGCTCTGCCCCCAGAGGCCGGAAGAGGTAAAAAAAACCTGCTCGACTCCATCACCTCGAAGCTCGCCCCCCCCTCTACCTCGGCGGGGCCAGTGCTGGGCCACCTCGGACCCCCCGGCGGCTCCAAAGAGGAGGCGGCGGCCGAGGAGCGGGGAGCTGCGAGGGCGACGCTCGCGCGATGCGGGCCGCACGGCGGCCGGAACTCCTGCACGACCTTCTCCTTCTTTCTGTGCATGAAGGTGTGGAACTCGGCCTGCAGCTTGTTCAGCATGTCCTTCAGGGGGCCCAAGGGACACACAAAAGAAATACACACAAATAACAGGATGCCCAATATTTTCCAATATTTTCTTGGTTTTTGTCTTCCCCCCACTTCCTTTATTTCCTGGAAATCGACGACTAATTGTCTGCGTGTTTTTTCCCTCCTGAGTCCTGGAAGGCGAAGGAGAATTGAGCGCGACGCTGTCACAGTTTCCGGCGGCAGCCTGTGGGCCTCCCGTGCCATCTTCCTGGCTCCTGCGACTCGACGCTGGCCAGCGCCAGCCGAGGCAAAATCGACGCTGCACAGGCGCTTGCTCCTCGACTGTCGCACGCTGGCGCACCCGAGTGCTCTCTAGCGAAGGAGTTGCGAGGACATGCGAGGCTCCGGTGATCTGCAGCCGAAACAACGGATGGGCACACGCCGGTGTGAGCGGGCGGCCCTTCGAGCACGCCGAACAGACGTGCCCACAGCACGCCGACACGCGTACAGCATATACTAACGCTGCAGCGAAAAAGTTAAGGGGCCCAGGGGCACACAAACGAGTAGACACAAATCCCAAGATCCCCGATATTGTCCTGTATTCTCTCGGCTTTCGTCGTCCCCCCCCTCACTTCCCACATTTTCCTAGATTTTCTTGGGAGTCGACGACTATGTGTGTTTGTGTGTTGTTTTCCCTCCTGAAAGGAGGGGGAGGGGCAGGACGATGAGACGGTGGCACAGGGCAGCAGGGGCGCCGGAGATGGGGGAGGAGGGGGCCAAGAGAGGAGAGAGGCGGCGGCGACGGGGACCCCAGCCCGGCGATCCTTGCGCTCGTGAATCCTGTCGTCGATGTCGGCGTCCAGCTCCTCGATTCCCTGGCGGGCGCGCCGCCAGGTCCAATGGTGAGGCGTCCTGTGTCAAGCGATCAATGATTCGGCAACCGCGGCAAGCAGCCCAGAAAGGCTCTGGCGCCTCGCGAACGTATGCCCACCAACACCTGCAGGAACGATGCCCAGGCAACCTGCCTTTACCGAGGAAGTGCCGGAGCAGGCAGTCGAACACAGGGGCCAGGAGCGGGCGGTCGTCAAACCGAAGCTCGCTATCAGTCCGAGCAGAGACAGGAGTCAACCATGACTGTCTTCGTGGATCTTTCGATATGGGAGCTTTTACGCCGTTGGAAAACGGGGGGCCTGACTTATCACACCCTCGTCGGCCGGCCAATTTCAGTCACGGCCGCTATCGAGTTCCTGCCTACATCCAGTGGGTGCGGTGATCGCCCGCGTGAAGGGCAACGGATGTGATATTGGACGGGCGTCGTGTGTTTTTGTTCCGCTGTCGAGTTCAGTGGTTGGGAAAAAACGGCCCCTGGGACCCTTCTGGACAGCTGTTGCTGCGCTCTTGTGGCCGTATTGGAGCTCTTCTTGGCCCCTCTTGGGGCTCTCTTGGGGCCATCCTGAGGCCTCAGAACCTTACCGGATGCCAAAGTGCAGAAAACATGAGTACTCCAGATTTCGTAATAAAGGGAGGGGGGTCTCATTTCGGGGGGGGTCTCTTCCAGGCTATCTTTGAGGTCCTGGGGGGGTCTGGGGACGATGTTTTGGAGGGTTCTCCCACGGGGGGGGGTCTGAAATGGCTTGTCTTGGAGGGTCCAGACCCCCTCCCTTTTATTACGAAATCTGGAGCACTTGAACAACTCATGAGTTTGAAGGTTGCTTCGCCTCTTGGGGGTCTCGCTGGCTCGCTGGGGGGCTCCGAGGCCAGTGAGAACAGTCTCCGGGTCGTCCTGGCGCCTCCATGAGGCATGCTGCAGGCCGCCTTGCACCAACTTGGGACGCCACGTGCCGTCTCGGAGGCCACCCCAAGGCGTCTGGGGCCCTCTTGGAGCCATCTTTTGGCCAAACAAGTACCCTAAGGACCCCATAGAGGCCAGTGCCATTCCACAACTTTGGGTGGCTGTTTGCGTCGATGCGGGATCAGAGCGAATGGGCGGCATCGATTAACTATCTCACCGCCGCCGGAACCCGACGACTCGTCGCTCGGACCCTGCTCGGGGCGCGCTCGGGCGCTCTTCGGGTCCTCTCGGGCCTCTTCACGGGCCCTGCCAGGGGCTCTTCCGGGCGACCTTGGAGCACTGGCGGGGGCCTCGCGAGCACATCGGGACGTCACAGGGCCAGGCCGCACACAGCGCGGGAGAGCTTGCGTGTCTTGAATGACCTGAGCCTCTCGGGGGCCTCCTCGGGAGGCTCCGTGGCCACTTGGATCCGGCCTGGGGCCTACTGGGCGCATGCTGCAAGCCTCCGTAGGCTGCCTTGACTCATCCTGTGCCATCGTGGAGAACAGCTTGAGCTACGTATGTGGTGTTCGGCACCGCCTTTGCGCGGCGCCAGCGCTAAGCCGACAGTTTTTGCGGCGGCAGCCGCGTTGCAAGGGTGCCCCGCTGCAGGGGTCGTTCGGCCGTCCACGCCAGGGCGCCCAGCTCCGCAAAGGAAAACGTTTTGGCACGCAAACACCGATTATTCTTGTCGGAGCCATCCCGGGCTGAAGAGGATCCTTTTGCCTAAACTTCGCGGCCCCTTGCCATACCAACGGGAGGGACTTCCCCTGAATAAGGCGTGCGGGCCCTTTCGGCCGACGGGCGGCCAGAATGCCAGTGTGGGGCGGACTCCAAGACGGCACAAGACGCCGCCAAGACGGCCACGCAAGACAAGGCCATACAAGACAAGGCAAGACACGACAAGAGGAGACAATACCTTAAGAAGACACGCGAAGACAGTCGCCTAAGTCGGCTAATACCCCCAAGACGCCGCTAAAAAGGCCACCGAGAAGCACTCCGTCAACAACACGAAAAAAACAGTGTTTGGCCTACTGTCTCGCTTGTTCCCAACCCTCCTGCGCTGTGTCCTCTTCCTGAGCCTTCCCGCCTCTCTCCTCCTCTCCCCCTCCTGCTACCCTGCCTTCTACCTGCCTTCTGGCATGCCTCCTGCCTGCCTGCTACCCTGCTTCTTCGCCATCGCTGGGGAGCTGCGACCTGCGAACCCGTCGCCGCTTTCGAGGGCTGCCGGTGGGTCCAGCGGAGTGACGCCCCACCGCAGATTCAGATTAGGCCTCGCGATCCCTGGGGGGCTGCGAGCTGCGACGCTGTCACCGCTTTCGAAGGCTGCTCGGGGGGGCAATCTAGTGGATACCAGACACAGATTCAGATTCGACCTCGCCATCCCTCGGGGGCTGCGAACTGCGACATTGTCACCACTTTCGAAGGCTGCAAGGGGGCCAGCACAGTTGGTACCAGGCGCAGATTCACATGAGACCTCGCCATCCCTGGTGGGCTACAAACTGCGAAACTGCCGCTACTTTCGAGGGCTGTAGGGGGGGCCAGCACAGTCGGCACCAGGCGCAGGTTCAAATTATACCTCGCCAGCCCTGGGGGGCTGTGAGCTGTGACACTGTCGCCACTTTCGAGCGCAGATTCAGATAAGACTTCACCATCCCTGGGGCTGGGGGGGCTGCGAATTGTGAAACTGTCGCCACTTTCGAGGGCCGGTGGGGGGGGCAGCATCGTGTGTACCAGGCGCACGTTCACATTTGACTTCGACATGCCTACGGGGCTTCGAACTGCGAAACTGTCGCCACTTTCGAAGGCTGCCAGGTGGGGAGGGGCAGCACAGTGGGCACCCGGCGCAGGTTCAGGTTCGACCTCGCCATTCCTGGGGGGCGCTGCGAACTGTGACACAGTCTCCACTTTCGATAGCTGCTGGGGGCCCAGCATAGCCATCCCTGGGAGAGAGGGGGGTGGGGCAGGAGGCTGGCGCGAGCGTCCAACGAGAGCGTCGGCCAAGGGCTCGTCGACACGGCTCCAGGCTCGAGACCGCCTCGGGCCGTCGAGTCGCCAGCATCGCCATCCCCTCCCCCTGCCCCAAGACGCCCCGCCCCCCGCCCCCCCCTTCTCTAAGACGAGGCCAGGACGAGGATCAAATCCGGGTGAGGATACGCCGATAATCTCTGAGATCCTGCGGATCTGGAGGACGTCTCGGGCGACGCGGCATCCTCAGAGCGTTCCGGAACGCTCTGAACGGATTTATCCTCGTCCTGGCCGCTCCAGCCCCGCCCGGCCCTCCCCCACCCCCGGGCGCGGTGGCGGCTGCGCTCGGCAACGCAAGCCGGGAACACCTGGCCCCCTGCCGTGCTGCCCCGACGCGCTCGTCTGCCTGGCCTCTGGCGCTCCTCTCGGACTCCTCGCTGCCCGCTGTCTCGGGGTGTGCCGAGGGAATGGGCGCAGGAGGAGGAGGAGGAGGAGGAGGAGGAGGAGGAGGAGGAGGAGGAGGAGGAGGAGGAGGAAGAGGAGGAGGAGGAGGAGGAGGAAGAGGAGGAGGAGGAGGAGGAGGAGGAGGAGGAGGAGGAGGAGGAGGAGGAGGAGGAAGGGGAGGCGCCCCATGGCCCGGGGCGTGTGCGTGGACGAGGGGGTGCCGCGGGGGCCCGGAGCCGAAGAGAGGGGGGCCATGAGACCTGGAAGGTGTCACGGCCCCGGCCATGATCTGCGGGCTCCAGGGATATACACCACCACCACCACGTCGATTCTTCCTCCATCCTCTACCCTCGTCTTCCACTCCTGTATCCTGGGAGAGGGAGGGGGTGAGGGAGGTGGTTGTGGTGGTGCACATTCTTAGGCCCCGCATGATCTCCACACGCGCCCCTAGTTCTCCCCCCGAGGCCTGGCGGGCCTCTGGCGGTGATCGTGCCGATTTGGGCACCCCCGTAAAGCTCTCGATGAGGCGCAGCTGCTGGAAAGCAACCTACCTTCGAGACCTCCGACGTTCCTCTGTCCGGGCGGCGGCCGCTGGGCGGGGAGCGAAGCAGCGCATCTCGCGGCGCGGCGCAGCCAGTCGTCGTCGTCGTCGTCGTCGTCGCCGTCGTCGCCGCCAGCGCCGGCGCCGCCGCCGTGGTCGTCGTCGTCGTCGTCGTCGTCGTCGTCGTCGCGCTACTCGCTGCTGTCCTGCGCGTGCGCTGTCCCCGTGCCCTGCCTCCCCCCTTGTCTCCCCGGAGGCTTCACAGAAGCGGGCCGTGACCTTAGGACCTCTGGCGTCGCATCTCTCCATGCTGTTTCCTTTCGGGCGTTGGCGGCGCTGGGTTTAGTGGGACCTGATTCAGTGATGTGGATCGGGGGGCGCCCCCCCCGCCCCGTCCCATTAATCGGAAGTGACGCCACCGAAGAGACACCAGCGGCGGCAGACTTGGTTCAGTGATTCTGTGACAGATTTTGGGACCCAGTCACTGATTGGCTCCCCTTGCCTGGGGTCCTGGCCATATCCGATCCTTGTGTACGCACGCGGTGGGGAACTTCTGCTTAGCGTGACGCGGCGGCGGCCGCTGGGACACTCTATGTCTTGCGAGGTGAACGTTTTCTGATTCGGCGTTTCGAGATTGGGCGGAAGAGGGGGGATGGGGGGGTCTGGCTCCGGACCTCTGCTTGATGCGACTGTTTGCATCAGTGCGTCCTGTGGGGGGGACTCCACTTGCTCGAAACAGGCGCCCCAAAGAGCCAAGATCTTCTCTACAAGGGGGGTGGAGCGGGTCCATGGGGGGGGGGAAAGGGGAGGGTGCGAGGGCCCGCGCCGATCGGCAGAACAACGAATCAGGAAACGATCGCGAGCTGATGGCGTGTCGCTCTGCTTCGCGGAGCAAGGGGATGGGCAGAGCTCGAGAAGCTGATTCTTGGAGTCTGGGACTGAATGGACCCAGGGGCACACCAAGAAATACACGCAAATCCCAAGATCCTCCATATTTTCGGGGTTTCCGTCTTCCCACCCACTGCCCATATTTTCCAATATTTTCTTGGGGGTCGGTCTCTGTGTGATTTTTCCTTTCCCGCAAAGCTCGA